AACCATGCTTAACTAAGGATTCTAGCAGCACTTCCCAAGTTTGTCAGAAGGCATACTTTTCATCCATACAAATCTAATGCTTTGAAATATCCAGATTATTGTTGTTCTCTTGCATTATTTTTGTCACAAACGACAGAGTAAAGACCGACTTGGATACAAATATAGCTGACTGTCTTCGAAAAAAAATAAAATCGATGGAAATAAATTAGCATACCTGCTTAATTAATTGAACTCCATATAAATTTCATATAATATTCACGATGTTTCCTTTTAATCTTCATTTTACGTATCTTTGTAAACTCCGTCTTTGAAAAATTCTCTTTACACAGCACGATCAATTCCCAAGTTACTTGATGTACACATATGACGTCATCGGTAGTAAACTTTTATCAAATGACAACAAAAAAAAAAAAAAAACAATGTTTATTGATGTTAATGTTAAAACGTTTCTATTCATTTTCTAGAGTTAGATTACATCTTTAAACACCAATATCACGAAAACTTGTGTTTGAAACTTGACGTCATATCGCTCACTATGACGTCATGATGTAGCACTGAATTAGTCAAGGTAGAATATTTGTAATGCTTCCTTCTTACCCCTGCGTATTTATTTGTACATATCAGGTATGGCAATATGTGTTCAATGAATAGAATATTTTAGTGGTTTTTATTACATATTACGGTCCATAATGAGAAAATTACATTTGTCAAATCCGTATGTTAGTGCTTGTACAAAAAAGTCTTAGGTTTTTTTTTGTAAGGTGTATATTAGAATCAATGAAAGCCTTAGTGAAAGTAATCATGGGTCTTTTTTTATTTTTTTTTTTTCGAAAATAAATATACGTTGCCATAGTTATATTTAAAAAGAGGTTCGGAACGCCCGGTTGCTGAAACAATATACATCGAACGCATGTCATTTATTCGTATATATATATATATATGAATATATATATGAATGGGAATTCGAGAGCACGGATTGCCAAAATCATTAGACTTACGTTACAAATCGAGACTTCGAATTAATAATCTGTGAAAACGAATTATGTAATTTGAGATCTCATATTATAAATCGAGGGAAGGAATTGATAATCCGCTGGAACGGATTGTGTTATTGAAGATATCAAATTATTTTTTACTTTTTTGAGAAATCAACGTGTCCCTTCTTGGCTTTCGTACTTAGAAGGGAGGTTCTGTTGTGATCAACTAAGAATGGAAATTCAATGTCAATTCTCGAAGCCATCAGGCTTCCTTATAGAATATCCCTTGTCCAGTTCTTTGAAGGTGGTTGGATAAGGGAGGAGGCAGTTTGATTCACTGAAAATAAATTAGGTCAAACAGACATGTAGTCCTCTTTGAAGATTAACATGAACATTAATAAGCTTCATTTAAGAAACAATTTTATGCTGTTCTCGAAAAGAAAAAAAAAACATCTCGATAGTGAATGGAAATTGTGAATGAGATAGAGACAGTGCATATTAGGCTTATCTTTAAAAAAATAAATATGCTTCAAGAATTAGCAACTTTGTGAAAAAAAAATGATTAAATGTTGTTCTTGAGAAAGAAGCTTTCCGTTGTTAAATAACTGACAAACTTAATTATCCTACTCGTCTATTTTTTTGCAAAGAGATATAATTTTTTTTCTGATAAAGAAGAACTGTTAAGGAGCAGGCTGAATAAAATGTAGTGTGAGAGTAAACAGAAACGCGTGACTCTATGGCATGTTTTCCCCTTTCATTTTAGATATTTGTGGCCGATAGTTAAATCTATATAGATGAAATAGAAATTAGGAACAACATTCAAGCTCAAAAATCCATTAAGAATACAAAATTGGAGCAAAGCAAAAATAGACCTGAAAAACATCAGAGATTATGATCAGGTGCCATCAGGTGCGGTATGCATGCTTCAAATCCCTGTTGACATTACAGATTGATAAAGATGACCAAATGTACTCAAATGTACATGTTTTTTTATACAAAAAATAGTTTATATTATGCTTTGTAGAAGATGGAAACATAATTGTATAACTATTTGTAGCAACGTCCTATAAACAGACTATGTCAAAAAAGGTAGCAGCGCTTGATGTAGTGATATTGAACAGAATTGTGTCAAATTTACTGCATGATACTTAGTTCTGTTCTCAGGTATGTTTACATTTTCTTTTGTTTTCAATTATCGGAGGTCAAGAACACACCTAATGAACTAAAAATAACGAAAAAGTGCTTTCTTTTGTAATGCAAAAAAAAAAAAAAAAACAAACAACTTTCAGAAATGCATAATTTCAAAATAGACTGACATTTTTTAAATTCAAATGTATCAGAGCGAAAATAAAACCAAACTGAAATAATCTGAACACAATATCTGTTTTAATAATAATGTTGAGTAAAAAAAATGGCAACTTTAGTTACTTGGGCTATATGTATTGGGGGCGTGGTTCTCATGTGTCAAAACTGTTTCCAATATAAATGACAAATACAACAATATTTCCATCTTGCACTGTACAAGACAAGAATACACCATTTGTAATGCGACAAAGCTATAAGATCAAGAATACAAAGATAAAAAGCGTTCAACGTTTGTTGGTGTAAAATTATAATGCATATTTTTTTCTTTTCAAATTAGATTAATGCATTTGCAAGAACAATGCTGTTTCAAAAAAGGAATAGAAAATATATGTGCTCACCTATTTTCAGATTTTTTGTGGTCTAATTTATTTTTTGCTATCTGTGAGGACTTTGGAATGGTTATAAAGTCGGGCGTAAGCTTTTCTGTTGACATCATTGTTGTTTGTTTAGCAGACAACGACTGTATAAATTCCAGGCATGTCAGATCTGTTTGATGTTAATATTTTAATTTCCAAAACACAGTACAAGAATTAATTATGAAGACGTCATATAAAATTATACATTCTTTTTCTAAAAACTGTTCAATATCTATTTCTGAAATATACATTATATTTTTCTTCTTGTTCGGAAGATAAAAAAAGGTCTACTGTCTCATACTAAACTAGGAAAAAAAATATGCTTACATTGAACAGATTCATTGGAATAATAATGAAATGGACATTCGGGGCACATTACTTTGAAATTCTCCATGACACGACCTACTCCATCATCGAATATTACGCAATATCTTCCTTAAAGAAGGAAAATCCAAGGGTTATTCATTTCTAACTTACAATAACATACTTTATTGTATTAGAATAAGCTAATATAAGATAAATGAAGACAGTTCTCCAAATTTGAAAATAGTAACAAAATACGTTGTATTAAGTTAATTATCAAGGTAAATTTGTCCACAAACCATCGTGCAGGATGCGCTTAAAGTTATTATGATCTGTAAACCTGTTAGATACTTTCTTGGAGCACACACTTCAATCATTTCTTTGTCAGAAGGAACACAATGATACGTCAACTTGTCAGTGGAACAGCGATCATGGACTGCTTCGCAGTTTAATATTTGCATCCTCTCTCTTAAAGACTTTTCATCCGTTGGACATACTCTGACAAAATTTGCAGTATTTAGCGTTTCTCTGCAAATATTTTCCTGTATAAAAACACATACTTTATTGATGGCTAATCCAAAATTAAGTATTCAAATGTAGTATTTAATCGTTGTAAATATTAATATTTTGAACTTAAGTGCTTACAAAACATACGAGATATGTCTACAATTACAAGTATTTCACATATTAATTAATCGAGCTGTCCTTATTACTATTTAGTTGAAATGTTCAAATGACTTCTCAAAGATGACTATTTTACTAAGTACATTGCACATTTCCCATACTTGTCTTGGTTTTGTCGAAATGCAGCGCTGAAAAAATGACAAAGCTGCGTGAAGAAATCATGTCAAAGGATTGGATGATAAAGTATTGGTTATCTTTCAAAATAGTAAATTGTTACCATTGAAAAGAAAATTCTTTTACATTTATGATCTGAAACTATTTCGTTGGAAGGTATTTTTCATGATGAACACTAGATTTCAGAAAAGTTATTAAAATAATCATCTTTTAGAGGGAAAGCAGTAGAAGGCATGAAAATTACTTTTATCATTATGCGCCCTAATGTCATATAAATGTACAGAGAATACAGAAGTTACATTAGCTGAACTGTTTCTTTATCTATACAAGGCAATTGTATGCTTTAAAATGAACAGTTACGAAGACAGCTGCATTTGATGTGAAACCATGAATGAATCATTTGGAAACTCTCATGATTTAGCACCCAGTAGCAAAAAAAAAAACTCCTACTAATTATTATATGTTAATAATGTAAAAAGAAATGGAATAAGTTCAAAATGAAGTTATAAATCGCTTTTTAAATTAGTATTGTTTTCACGTTTTACAGTATTGCATTTAACAATGTGACCTTATTTTGTGCGAAAATCCTTGTGAGTTTAAAAAGTGTGTTGAGCTGTAGATCATTACTAAATACAAAGAGACCACTTTTGTTATTCGGATGTTTGAGAGCGCAAAATGAGCGGTGAACAACTAGTAAAGGCAAAATGAACGATTTATTCGAAATGCCTCCTATATCCGCCTTGCATTGAAACTTTTCTATTATTTTCCAATGTCAGGTGTTAAAATAAAAATAAACAATAAATAGATTTATAAATTAAAAAATGATGTTTTAAATCTGTATTTTAATATCACGATTTTTATTGCTGTAAAACATGTGTAATTGTTACTGAACGTGTGTGGTACATGTACAACTGTATAAAACACAAAATTAATCCAGTGATAAATTAAATATACTTATTCTTTTAACAAAGAAAATAAAATGGACTTTAGAGAAAACTACTACTTAGCACGTATAACTTATTAATACTTTATGCTTCACAATTTTCCTTGAAGAAACAAATAAAAATATACTGAAATACTAACTAAAGATATGATCACGAGATAAGAGGGTGGGGCTCTTAATCATACCGAATGGCAAACATATATTTAGTTACTGTAAAGGAAGAAAAAAACAACGGTGGTTGTTGCTATTTCAAAATTCTTGGTGAGGTGGCGTTTACGACGACCTGTGGCAGACCTGCATTTTGTTCAGTTAAAGATTTAGAAGTTACCTCAACTGTTGACTGGATAGTACTCCCGGGAACAGCCATAGTCTTTATTAATTGAAAACAAGATGGATCTGCAAAATCTATACCGTAAAACATTTTGAGATAAAAGTAAGCGTAGAAGGCTGTGAACCTTGAATTTTAATTTTCAATCATATAAGACCTTTTGGATAAATGTATTTGGTGTTTTCTGTTTATGTATCTTAACTAAAACATAATTCTCAAAGTAATTTATTGTCTTTAAATATTCAAACAGACAAACATTAAAAATTCATATTTACATTTAATGTAATGTAGATATTTGAAATAGCTATCTGTTCAAAGTCTCTTTATTCTACCTTAATGAATATTAAGAATATTAATACTACTGGTAATAAATTTGGTGCGCTTACATGTTATCGATTCATTGGAATAGTAATGAAACGGACACTCTGTACAGGCAACACTATAATCCTCTACTATACAGCCTAATCCCTCGTTGAACTGAACACAACAATTTCCTACAACACATCATTTATATGTCAAATGAGATTTCCTTAAATGCCAAGATACTTTAGTTCCTTTGAATTCGTTAATGAGATTTATTGTTTTGATTATGGCATTAGGAATAATATGTTTTTTTTTTCTAAACTGACAGAGTGTACATGCAATTAAAACCATACATTTGAGTTCTTTTCTTGAAAATTATTTTGAATTTTTCAGCAATTCAAAATTTGAATCTCTCGGTAAGCATATTTTGGTCGCCGATGTTACACAACATTGCATTGGCTTCACAGGTATAAAGCATGATCAAGCTAAATAAATATTTTCTACCTGTGATAAAATTCCTTGGAGCACAAACTTCAATGAGTTTGTTTCTAGACCGCAAGCAGTGATACACTAAGGAGTCTTTGGAACAAGAATCATGCATATCTTCACACATTCTTTCCCTTGTTCTAATCCTTCTGGACTCAACATCTTCTGGACAATATTGAACTATTTTTCCAGTTTTAATCGTTTCCTTGCATATATCATCCTGTATACAAATAGCATAACTTTTTTTTAAAATAATATGCATAGCGAAGTAAATATTTGAGCGTAATTTTATCTTTAAAAAAAAACTTTATTTACGTTGAGTGTGTGTTAAATCATATATTACAAAGATTTCAAAACTTTGGGAAGTCAAATAATATTTCTTAGTATAAATTTTACAGACAGCGTTAAGGATAAAAATATTCAGAACTACCGGTAGTAAAGAACCACACCCCCCCCCCCCCCCCCCTAAAAATTGGTTGGACTGACGTCACCCACACACCAGAAATGTCTTTATGGAGCCATTATTAAAAATGTTGATGAACTTCTCTTTATTCAAATGAACTTTGAGCACGAGACATTCATGTCTCCCGGATGGTCAAATGCCATTCCTACATATACATGTAGTTACTTCTGTATAACGGGTTCAGACGTCAAACACTTCTAAGTGAATATTCAGGAGAATCGGTAACCTGCGTACTCAACTTTATCCAAAAGTCCAAATTACTATTTACAAATATAGAAACTATAATACACAGGTATTTTGGCATCTTTTGGAGCCCCGACTCTCAGGTTTAATTATCAAAAGGTATCTTCCTTGAAACCGAGCCTCGTTTATAGTGTCTCAGTCTAACCACCAACAACATTCACTTCAAAATACCGTGCGCTTGATGAAAGACAGTTGCTCCTTTTTTGTCAGTAGCAGCCAGGATTTTAGCCCAGGGCTTTCCGATCGAGAGCTACCTTGGCGGTCAGCAGAAGGAGAAAGAAAATAAGGAATGACCTAATCTTTTCAGCTTTTGGATTTAAAATCGAAAAAAAATCTTTTGTACGAAAAAATCTCTAATGCAGAATTTACGAGGAGGTAAAGTTAAAAAATAAAAGAACTATAAATACATTTATGAAGTCCCGTCCTCAGCTATAATTCTTTTGACATCGAAATTAATAGGGGGCTTTCTTAGGCTATACTGCCTAAGGATATAATCTTTCAAAGAAAACCGCGAAGAAAAAAAAATTATTTAGACACCCGTTTATAAAATGCATGACTTTTTCGCCTTAACCTTTTGACGTTTAAATCAATTGGCTTCTTCTCTGTATCAGCAGGAGTCATCAAATTTCATTAAAAGGCAGTAAGACACTAACAAAATCATCTATAATTGAATATATGAGCTCAAAATCAACAAATGTGTACTTAAGGTCATAGGAGATTGTGACAGTATCACCAGGAGTCATAGAATTTCATTCAAAGGCAGTAAGAAAATTAACATAATCATCTAAAATTGAATATATGACATCAAAATGAAGAAAGGTGTACTTTAGGTCAAAGGAGATTGTGAGATGAAATTTATTGTAAAAGCACAAAGTACTTTTTTTAAATATCATCTGGTAATGATGGTAGCAACGCAAAAAATAACCTCAACTGGTCAATTAGGCAGACAGACCAAACTTGATATTTTCTACTTCCGGCGAAAGCGGGAGGACAGTACATAAAACATATCCAAATAACCTATTTGCAGAGTGGGGTCTTCCCATCTTACATGTATATCTAACTTTCCTTTGTAATTTTCAAGGGGGCCATATCGCCCTGGGTGGTGAAAGGGTCAATGATCACATTCTATTTATATTTTGCTGAGTCAAGTGAATAACTCGTCATGAATGACAAGAAGTCAATTTACAGAAGCCCTAATTATCGAAAAAATTACCCGTGTGAATCGCTTCTTGACCATTAGATTTTTTGATTCCACGAAGCATATGAGAACAATTAAAAAAAGGAGAAACAGTAACGTTGTGGTTGCGACATAGTCACAACAGCCTGACATCATCATTCTGTTTGAGATGTTTCTAGCGTCTCTTGGAAATCCTGGGCGCGCCGTCGTCAGAGGTCTGCCAAACTATGAAATCTGAAATAAAAAATAAAATAAGTAAACGCAATGAACGAAAATGTTTGCTTTGTTTATGTTAGAAGCCGGATTTTTTTTCTCCTCTCCTTTGTTAAAATTTTTGAATTGAGTAGATCTTCAAAGGGAAAGAAGCTAAAACCATATACACCGCAACATACTGCATTTGCGAATCGAAGTATACATTTAAATATATCTCCCCGAGCCCAGAGATGAGAGATTTAATTGACTTATTAATTAGTAATTATTATAACGTTCTTCTCGTATGGAGACGTCACCACTTTCTAGTAGAGGGCTACACTTTCGTACATATACTCGGCACTAACAGCGACTGAGGAGCGAGGGATCTTTTTCGCGTCAGCATCTACTGCAAAACTGGACATCATTTAATACGGTCTAATCCGAAAAAACGGTATCCACTACCACAAATGGATTCGCACCAGTGACGTAAGGATTAACTCCTTATGTATCGACTCCACAGCCAGCGCACTAAGTACTGCGCCACATAGACGACACGAGATTTGAAATCATTGTGCAAATTGTCTCAATGCTTTTGAAAAATTTCATTAAACCCGCACCTTCTGAAGAAAATTCGGTTGTATTGTTGTTACTCATGTCCATCCGTCCTCCGTGTGTCATACTTTCTTCCTCAAACTCCAGTTACATTTTACAAAGTAGCCTTATAATCTTTTATGAGGTTGTTGGTGGTGCAATGTAGACGAGCAGTAAAGTTGCGGAACTTTCATTTCGCCTTTGGGGTCAAATTGCGGTCATAAATGACGCTTTTTATGCAAAAATCTCCTTCTTCCCTGAACTTCTCCTAAATTTTACAGAGAAGCCTTAACGGGTGAAACACAATATAGGGAACAGAAAGGTTGCACTTGGGGGTAAGAAATTAATGTCTTTATGCGTTTTGCGCCAAAAATATTTTTTTCTAAAAAGTAGAGTATCTAAAGGGTCTGAAACATAAACAGTTTTGTTATATTCACTTTAAAACGTTGTTTTTTACAAGCTGATTAAAACCTCATTTTCACAGGTTCAAACACTACAAGTGTTGTTTTCTTTGAAATAAATATTGAAAATGTTAATAAATTCTAAGTTTTTCAAATGCTCACAAAAAAAAAACAACATATAAAAATACAAAATATTCACAAAAGTTTTACTAAAAAAAGTGGCATTATACTTTAAAATGAAAACAGATCTTACTTCGTACATTTTTGTGTTAAAAGGTAGTATTTCATTTCAGGTGAACTTTTTAAAACCCATATAAATAAAGAAAAAAATATTTATAAATAACTCTTTATGCGTTTGTTAAAATATAAATACTTCGCAGCACTATTAAGGCCTACTATGAGAAATAAACGGAAAATAGATGTGCAAAAAGGGGATTTTTCTTTAAATTGAATTTATTTCAATTAAGCTGTTTTATTATCAGAGAACTTAAATACTGATGGAAATAGCATAGTATAACCCACTCTGTACTGAATGAAGTTTAGTCCCATCGATGCACAGTCACGTGATGAATGCTTAGTACGTGTACTGAATGTAGGTCATTAACAAATTTCAATATCGCAAGGGCATACCCTAGTTGAAATTAAACGTTTAAGCTATTAATTGTTTCTGAATACTTTGTAGTTTCTGAAAAGTGCTGCTGCTTTGAATAGAATTCGCTTTTCAATAGTTAAGTTTTCAAGTAAATAGGCCAATGTCAAAATATATTAAACTTTTACCAAATATTGTGTGCACTTATGAAATCACGCCTTCAAATTAAAGAAAGCAGCAGTACTTTTCCAGTTAAGGAAAATATCCTTTATCTATATTCAAAAAATGATTAAAATCTATGCAGTGTATGCCCTTTCGAAAGTACGATTTTATGGTGCATCTCGATGTAAAATATACGTAAGCTGTACATAAAAACACGGCATAATTAATAAAATACATTCTCTTAAAAGTTAACGAATAATCGCACTAAACAAGCGATCTGCATTGGTATTAATCGACTATTTAAAACCGAAAATATCATTCCGTTCTATTATAAAACGCATTTTTCATCGTAAAAAAAAAATCCTCAATCTGCCATTCACAGTACATGAAATACGTCATGTTTACTAAAATGACGTCATATTCACAAATTCATGGCGATCAGTGCTTTGTTTAAAACCAGCTACATGGGATTAACCTAGCAAAGCTTTTTAATGCATTGATAAGTTTTATAGTTGTTTATTATGCTAATACAGTTAAAAATTGCAAATTATTGAATTTTCAGGTATAATGAGTAATACATAAAAGTCATATTTTTGTGTGACGTCACAGTAAACTTTTCCCGCATAAATTAGGCCCCGCCCCCTTATTCAAGCCTTAACAATGCTGCGTTCCATTAAAAAGGAAGTTTCATTTTTATAAATTTTCTAAAATAATTTGATATCTTGATTAAGTCACGGACACTACAAAACCCAAATACTTATTATTGGTTTTTGGTATGTGGTAAAAGAAAACATTTTATAAACTTCCGTACTGGTATGCTTCTATTCAAAACAACTACAACCGTACAGAAAACAAGCATAAAGGTGATTTCAAAACGAAAAAATTGAATTCTTTAAAATATAAAAGAAAACAGACATAAAAATAAAATTATAGAATGGAAACATTTATTTGTATTTACCTTTCGTATAGGTGTTGATAAATTTTGATTGTAAACGAAGGAAAGGGCTCATTGTAGGATTTATATGGATTAAACGTTGACTTTCATACTTTTTGTACAAACATCTCACACACATAAATCTGTCGAGAGACTCTCATAATATATCAATCATCCTTTAATCTGTTTGAATTTTTGGATTAAAATTTGCTGTTTCATCCTGCACAAAAGAACAAACATGATATCGTTAGTGTTTTAGGTGTTGATGAAAAAATGAACTGAATAATAGAGCAAAAGAAGCTTGGAAAATATGACAAAGAATCAGTGAGTTTATCAATTACTTGTTGCCTTGGATTACTTAAGTGTAAAGTTACAAAATGATCCCCATTTGGTATTGTACATGTATCTGGTATGAAGCTCGAAACGATTAACAAAAATGAGAATATAAAGCGATCAACAAAAAAAACTCAATTATCTAGAAATGCCAGCTGAAGAATGCAGTTTTTTTTTTATTGATTTATTCTTTTAAAAATACAGATGCTGTGAGTAAATTAAACATCTAATTTACATACGAGCTAGCTTTGTCAGATAAAATTAGATATGAACAGATGAAAAGTGCTTAATTACATGAAACTAGAAAGATACATCTACATATCACAACAATTTATAATCTGCTTGTTATATGCTAAAAATCAAGAGAACAAATATTCAACAATATATTTAAGGATATGCTTATTAATAGAAATAATATAAATAGCCATAACAAACAAAGGTATCATAATATAAACATGCATTGTAATAATACCAGAATTACTAAATCAAAGACACTTTCTTAGACACCGGGCAATTAAGAATCCGCAACATATTCTTCATTTTTGAAAGCGTTCTAGCATCGATAATTATAAAATTATATACTACATGTACCTCAGCTAAAATAGGTTTTATTAATTTACCCCTTTATGTTTCATTTGATAAAAAAACTGATAAATTAGAAATTATAAACAATAAATAATCAAGCAATGTCAATAAAGGGACAATTTGCATTTTGGACCACCTTTTGTTAGATTTCAGTTGCTTCTCCGTTGACATGAAAATATCAAATTTAGGTTTTATGTATCAACGACCCGCACAACTATCTCCAACCGAAATAAGTTTTTCATTTAATTATTTACTTTATTTTATAAACAATGATACAAGTTATCGAATAAATTGGTTTTTTTTTTTTTTTTTTTTTTTTTTTTTTTAAGAAACTATTTCTAAAAATAATTGTTGATTAAAAAAAAGTAATATGTATATATACATGTATACAGTACAATACATATAAATACATAAAGGGATTGGTGGAGATATTTTTCTAGCGGAATTTAACAGATTAACAAGAAGGATTTTTTTTCATTTTTTAATGGATTAAATGTATACATGTATGCATTTATATCCTACCATTTATTGAAAACATAAGATGGTCGATTATCTCAATACAATTTAAACGCCACCCAGAAATATAATTATCTTGCTTTTTCATAGTTTGAATGACAGACTTTAAAAACAAACCGTCAGCTATGCATGTATGTATCTTGAAGTTCGTATTATACCTGTATAATATAAATCCAATGACCTAGATACTTCATCCGAATAAAAATATGCGAAATGACTAAATCTATAACTGATATATAATAATTAAATGCATTCTATCGTAAAATAAAACAATAAGACCAGGCATCGGCAATACATAATTCCTACAATATCATACCCATCCTCTACTTAGTGACTATTTTTAGGAAAAGTGCTTCCCGCATATCTTTTTTTAGGTACACGTCAATGAGTTTTGTGTAAGATCAATCACGGACTTGGAGTAAAACGCTGAGTGAAATAGATACGATTGTTTGGATACAAGCAGTTAAGTATAGTTCGTTTTACAACAGAGCATAAGGATAAAATAAAGTGATTTCTTTTACATACAAAATAGTTGATGCTTTTTTTTATTGTATCATTGTATCTCGGGATAAAAAAGGAAGAAAAAAATATTTTCACGGAACATGATTCTTTTTCGCATGTTTACGTTGTGTAGACATTTTCTCTTCTTTTAAAAATCGGTGCCGCGTATAGTTCTATATAATATTTCAGGGACGTAGCAACGGGGGGTGGGGGTGAGGGATGGGCGCCCCCTCCCACCCCTACTTTTTCCCCCAAAATTACCTTTACTATTGAAAATGACTATTGAAAGGTTGGTTGGCTCCTCCACTTCTTACTATAGTGTAATAATTTGAAGGATATGTAGTATTGTATGGAAAAAAATGTAAGTGAAAGGAAGTTGGCGTTGAAAAAAGTTAGCCACTACACCCCCCCCCCCCCCCCACGAAATAGGATTTGATTTTCGAGTTTGGG